GGTCCTATTCCCTGATCCTTCCAATTTTTATGATCTAACATCTCAACATTACCTCAGTGGGATAATGCCCTCTGAATTTGTAAAGTGAATTTGCTTATTTTAATTTTTAAACTTCTAAAACACCTGGTTTCTTACAGAGATAATACAGGTCCTGAAATTTCTAGGACAAAATTGATTATAAATGTTTTGTCATGTTGTCAGATCATGTGACCTGACTTCTAGTCAAGAAAGTATGGTCATCTTATCTACCTGTAACCTCTACTTCCTTATTATTATTTAATCAATGAAGCCTTTAATCTGAATTTTCTGTTATGTATATTCGAATATATAGTGTATATATTCTGAAATTATACTTTCAAAAGTAACCTTATTGTCAAATCCAGTGGTCTTTCCCCCCACTTCTGTTTGTTTTCCTTAACCTCTCTTCAGTTCTATTCATTAATCTTTCTTCTTTAAATATCTAGGATTCTACAGACCTAGGAATTTAGGTCACTTTCAGTAGATATTTTTCTTAAGTCTCCTTTCATGAATTCTCTTCTGCTTCTCACAGCCTCATTCTTCCACATCTTAAATGGTCTACTTTCTTATGAGCTGCTTGAGGTTCTTGGACGATTTCTTGAAGGCTCAGGAATATTGTTTGCATAGCCACCTCAACTCCTTACTTCTAGGACTCTTCCTCACTGAATTATTGCTTTCCTTTAAGCTTCAGATAAATTCATACACTTACCTTGCCCACAGTAATTTATTTTCCTTTAAATTCTCAAGCATTTGACCCTTGCTACCTCATACTGTTAATTAATTTTATGTGTTCATGTCCCATCTCTTAGTTAGAATGTAAAGTTCCTGAGAATAAGGACTGTATTTCAACTTTTTTTGGGGGTGGGGGTTGCATGGTAGGGGACAGTGAACAGAATACCCAATAAATATTTGCTGACTGAGAAAAGGCACACCATGTTGCATGATTTCAGTACAACACAGTCAACATCTTGTTTAGCTGTGCATATTAAATTTTTCCCCCTCCTTTTTGGTCTCTGCTTATAAGATGGACAATTCTTGTTACAAAATTACCATATGCAATCTTTTTAGAAGTAATAAAAGAATTAAAAGATGGCAAAAGCAGGACTACAGGAGATAGTGGGAATAAATACTTACAAGGCTGCTACCTTGTGCCAGACACTGTGCTCTACCTGTAGATTTCTTTCAGCAGACTCAAGAAACCGAAGTCCAGCCAGGGTAGTTAATTTATCCAAGGCTGAGTAAATGACTGTGCTGTTTCAGAAACCCATGTCTGCCTGGTTCCAAAATGGCAAGGCAGTTTTTGTGTTGGATGACTGTGACAATTAAATGACACAATTTCTTGAAAAAGCACTAGGCACAACAGTTGGCGTTCAACAAATGTTGCTCAAACACATATCTGCCCAGGAATTGGGACTACTTAAACAGGAGAGCAAAAAAACTCGCTGAATTAATACTGTTTCTAGGAAAGGCTGATGTTTGATTACAACAATCCCATACCCTCCTTCACACTGACGCTAGGAAAAATTCCTGACAATATTTCAAAACATGATGCCTATTTCTTTTCCCTGATAACAAAAATTACACTTCCAAAAGAGAAAAGAGATTTGGAAAGTTGTCTTCAGCTGACAGGAGACTAAGGATCCCAATCATTTATTTATGTAAAACAGAATTTTTTTCGTGCCTATTTTTTTTTCTGACGACGAAGAAATGCTTCTGATCTGTAAGGAACTTTGCAAGGTAAACTGCTGGGTCCCAGCATTAGTTGGGCCTCCCTTGAAGGTCGAAATCAAGTGCGCTCGCTCTCTGCCTCGCCGCCTCTTTTCTTTTACCCCCCCACCCCCCAGGCTGCTTCTCTGCAGTAAGTAACACTGCATCGCCTCGCGGAAAGTGGGGCAACCCAGGCTCACTTTGCCTATCAGTAAAAACCTTTTGTATTCCATCTGCGGAGACAAACCAAACGCAATGCCGGACCCAGCCGTCCGGAACCTCAGGGGGGAGGACGAGACGCAGCCTCTCTCTCTTCCTTCCGCATCCGCTCCAAGCACCTGGACGCGGGCGGCGCGCGACCCCGGCCGTGACGTCACCGCACCTGGCACCAGCCGGGGTCCGGGGAGAGAGAGCCCTAACGCGGCGGGGGCGTGGCAGGGAGAACGAGGGCGTTCTCGCGAGATTTTCCTCTTTCCCGGCCCAACTCCCCGCACCTTCCCGGCCTGTGTCCCTGTCTCCACCTCAGACTTTGGCGTCGCGTTCTAGGACGGCGGGCGCGTAGGGAGCAGCGTGGGGCGGGTTTGGAGGCTGGACTGACGCTCGGGGTTGGAGCCGAGGGCCGGGCGAACCCGCGGGTCCCACGGCCCTGTGGGAACGACGAGGGGTGGGAAAGCCGCTGTCTGGGCGGGCGGGGAAGGGCCCTCCCGCCGCCGTGGCTTCGGCGGAGGCCAGGCGTGAGAGCTGTTGCCGCCTCACGGGCCGCGCTGAAGCGGATGGAGGCGCCTCCTCTCCCCGCCTGAGCTCAGGAAGGACAAGCGCGGAGCAGCGGCCGCGCCCGCCACAGGAGGAGGAGCAGTGGGCGCCGGGCTTCTCCCCGCGGGCGCCCCCAGCATGGGTAAGAGACTCGGGGGAGCTTCCCGCCGCCCATCCCGACCCTCCCGATCCGGGGAGGCGGTTCCCTTTCTCGGCCTCGGTGGGGAGGCGATGGTGTCAGCCTTGCGATGCAATACTCCAACCCTCTCCGTCCTGCCTTCCACTTGCTCTTCTCTGGGAGAAATTTGTCGGAGGGCTCGCGGGTGCTTCGTCTTGCGCTTCCCTCTCCACCTGTTTTCCAGTTCGCTGGAAAGGTGCGGGAATGGGGGCGGGGGCGCCTGGCCACCTCTCCTCGCCCACTGCCCGGTTAAAATCTGCCCCGAGCTTCTCCCCCCCCCCCCCCCCCCCCCCCCNCACCGCACCTGGCACCAGCCGGGGTCCGGGGAGAGAGAGCCCTAACGCGGCGGGGGCGTGGCAGGGAGAACGAGGGCGTTCTCGCGAGATTTTCCTCTTTCCCGGCCCAACTCCCCGCACCTTCCCGGCCTGTGTCCCTGTCTCCACCTCAGACTTTGGCGTCGCGTTCTAGGACGGCGGGCGCGTAGGGAGCAGCCCGCCTCACGGGCCGCGCTGAAGCGGATGGAGGCGCCTCCTCTCCCCGCCTGAGCTCAGGAAGGACAAGCGCGGAGCAGCGGCCGCGCCCGCCACAGGAGGAGGAGCAGTGGGCGCCGGGCTTCTCCCCGCGGGCGCCCCCAGCATGGGTAAGAGACTCGGGGGAGCTTCCCGCCGCCCATCCCGACCCTCCCGATCCGGGGAGGCGGTTCCCTTTCTCGGCCTCGGTGGGGAGGCGATGGTGTCAGCCTTGCGATGCAATACTCCAACCCTCTCCGTCCTGCCTTCCACTTGCTCTTCTCTGGGAGAAATTTGTCGGAGGGCTCGCGGGTGCTTCGTCTTGCGCTTCCCTCTCCACCTGTTTTCCAGTTCGCTGGAAAGGTGCGGGAATGGGGGCGGGGGCGCCTGGCCACCTCTCCTCGCCCACTGCCCGGTTAAAATCTGCCCCGAGCTTCTCGCCCCCCCCCCCGCCCCCCCCCCCCTTCCCCCCCCCCCCCCCCCCCCCCCCT